CCAACCCAAGGGTATGAGGTTACCAATCTGGTCAACACCATGGCCAAGTGGGGCTCGATCTCAGTGGGGGTCCTCCGAGGGAACAAGTGGAATATGACAGAATTGTCCATTGAAAGAACAGAAGAGGGAAGAACTTATCCACAGACTCACCACCAAGGGGGAGAGTTGTCCAATGGGGAGTTAACACCCTTGCACTTCCAGGTTACATATGCATCAGAAGAGCTGAGTGAATTCTAGCAAGCATCCCGCAAGGTGGCCCCAGAAAAGCCCTAGAACAGAAAGCAAAAGATAAGCACTCCAGCTGAGTGCCTCAGCAACAAAATTTAAAAGTTGGCAGAGATATATGAGGAGAGACATGAGATATGTCTGATAGAATGAAAACAAATGTTAAATACATTTTCAGATCAATGATAGGTGAGAGAATTAATCAAAAGCAGACCCATACTGGGAGAAATGCTAAAGGAAGTTCCTCAAGTGGAAAAGAAATAACACCAGATGGAAATTCAGATCTTCAAGAAGAAAAGAAGCCTATTGAAAATGAAAATATGTAAAGTAAATATTTAAAAATCTATTTTTTATATCCTTAATTCTTTAAAAGTCAATTGACTGTTTAAAGCAAAAATAATAACATGAATTGTGGGGTTTATAATATAGGAAGAAGTCAAATATATGACAACACGAAAGATAAGAAGGAGTGAAAATAGAATTATTGTAGTAATGTTATTATATAATATGTGAAGTTGTATAATTTTAATTTAATTAAACTGTGAATAAATTAAGGATACCTATTGTAATCCCTATAGGAACCACTAAAAAAATTATGCATTTATAGCTAAAGCAAAATATTTCTATTAATTATATTATATTACTATACTGGATATAGCTAAAGCCAGGTAGAATGGAATACTAAAATATAATTAATTAATCCAAAAGAAGATAAGAAAGGAGGAAAAAAGAAACAAAAACAGAGGGACAAATAGAAAACAAACAACAAGATAACAGACTTAAAATCAACTATATCAATAATTACATTAACTATAAATACCAATTAAAAAGCAAAGACTGTCAGACTGTATCTAAATAAAGGTAAGACCCAACTATATGATGCTTACAAGAAATATACTTTAAATATAAAGACAGATAAGTTGAAAGCAAAAGGATGAAAAAAGATATCCCATGCAAACACTAAGCATAACAAAGATGATACAGCTCCATTACTATAAGGCACATGCACAATGCACTTCAAGACAAGGAGTGTTACCAGAGATAAGAGATAAAAAAAGGTCATTTCGTAATGATAAGAGTCAATTCATTAAGAAGATATAATAATCCAAAATATAAATGAACTTAATAACAAAACTTTAAAATATATGAGCAAAAATTGACAGAATTAAAAAGACAGACGAATCCACAATCACAGGCAAAGATTTTAATATCCCTCCCTCAGTATTGCTATAAGTACACAAAAAAAATCAGTAAAGCTATGGAGGATTTTAACAACACTATCAACTAACTTGATCTAACTGATTTATATTCATAGAATACTATACCCAACACTCTTTTCTAGAACACACAAAACATTCACCAAGATAGATGATATACTAGGCCATAAAATATGTCAATAAATTTAAAAGACTTAAAATCTTACAAAGTATATTCTCCAACAACAAAGAAATTCAATTAGAAACCAATAATAATAAATTATCTAGAGAATCCCCCAAATGATTGTTTCTGCTTCTAGACAAGATGGATTAACAGTTACTGGATTTACGCTCCCAACCTGAAACAACCAAATAACCTAGACAATACATATATGAAATGGTTGTCAAGACATTGAACATCAGATAACAAAGTACAACGATCTCTGAGATGTGGAGAACAAATGAGGGTAGCTCTACAATTACTCCATCTTACTGCCTGGAGAGAGTTTCAAGGCTGTGGCACATGAAGGAGGAACCTAGGTTGATGCCAGCAGACTCCCAAAGTTGAGATGGAGCTGAGAGTCCAGGGACAATATGGTGACTAAAGTTCTCAGATTAGAGTACCAGAGAGAAGAAAGCTGCATAGAAAGAGAACCTCAGAGATTTTCGGAGAGTCCTCCTCAAGGATCCATATGAGTACGGACCAGCACATGTGTGTGAGGAAACTACAAGGCTGGGGAAAGAACCATCTAAAAAGATTAGAGGTAACAGTGCCTGGCACTCTCACAAGACTAGGAAAGTTGTCTGTTCTCACCAGCCAGATTGAAAAGCTCAAGATTCATGAGCCATTGGGTAGAATACACAGAAGGGTCATACCTCAGTAGTGTAGAATAATTAGTGCTAGACCAAGCACTACTCCAGTCCCACATAACAAATCCTAAATGCAAGACCCAAAAGGATCAAACTGTTTCTGAGTAACTTAACTGTATCTCAAAACATAATTCAAGAATATTTATAAGAATACAAAAATATGTAGCACTCAACATGGTAAAATTTACAATGTCTGGTATCCAATAAAAAATTACTATGCATGTCTTAAAATTAGATTGTGATGATGATTGTACAACCCTATGAATATATCAAAAAAATTGAATTGTACAATATATATTAGTGGAATGTATGGTATATGAATTACATTTCCAAAAGGTGTTCCAAAAAATGACTAGGCATGGTAGGACTTCCACGACGGCCCAGCGAGGACCTTGCCAAATCCTCTCCCCCAAAAAGAATGATAAAACTGGATGAAAATGTCAAAACCAACCATTTCAGAACCCTGGAAATTAACCAAAAGCCTACAAAACATTGAAAAGTGTATATATGAGAAAAGCTACTGAACTACAGCAAGAACAGCAGGATCTGTGGTATTTTAACTTGGGACTGCTCCCATGCCCCCAGTTCCAAGGTGCAGTAGCCTTGGGGACTGGAGGACTGGCAGTCTCACGGTAGCTGAAGGGGCTGACGCAATTTGAAGCTCTGCAGAAGAGCTCCATGCCCAATAGTGATATCAGGGGCAAATAATCAAGGAAGGCCAGCAACATAGCTACATAAGGCTGTGATACTGGTTAGAGCAAGCAACAGATCAGTCAAAAATTTAAAAAGAAAAGCTGGAAAATGAAATGGCCATAAGGAGCTTTGATAACCTCCCATATATTTTGGGGGGATCTGGAAGGCTGTGTGCATACACAGTGCTGCACATATGCTCAGGGGAGACCAGAGATGGCCCCAGTTATCTACTCATTCATGGCTGACCTTGAGGCCCTGTACAAGCAGAAAGTGGAAACCAGAGAAGACTTGTAAAACTGCCTGAACTCAGAATGAGTGTACCAACACATGCACAGATTCCCTAGGAAACCTTACTGGCTCAGTGTTTAAGCAAAATCTCTGACCAATAATTAGCTGACCACTAAGCTATAATGACCCAAGGGTGAACTCTAGGTAGCGAGGCTTAAAAATAAGAACAATATTAAAAAAAAAAAAACAGATCAGAGATTCCAGTTGTCACACACTGCAGAGGAAATAGACACTACCTAATTAATCCAAGTAAATCACTAAACAAAACCAAAAATAATAATAATAAAAAAAGAACAAAGGTGCAGCCCATACGGAGAAAAAAAAAACAGCTTATATAAATTGTCTCTGGGAGGGCCTAGATGATAGATTTAGTACATAAAGATTTCAAATAAGCTATTATAAATATGTCCAAAGAACTAAAGGAAACCATGTTTAAAGAATTAAAGGAATGTGTGATGACAACTAATCCCATAGAGATTGTTAAAAAAGAGATACGAATTATAAAAAAGAAATGAATGAAAATTCTGGAGTTAAAATGTACAACAACTGAAATGAAAAATTCACTCAAGCAGCTCAACAGCAGATGTGAACTGATAGAAAAAAAGAATCAATAAACTTAAAGGTAGATCAATAGAGATTATCCAGTCTAAAGAACAGAATGTAAAAAGAATGAAGAAAACTGAAGAACCTCAAAGGCCTGTGAGACACCATCAAAAACACCACATATGCATAACGGGAGTTCCAGAAGAAGAGAGGAGAAAAAAGGGACACAAGTATTTGAAGAAATAATAGGTGAAAACTTCTCAAATTTGATTTAAAAAAAACAAACAAACATTAATCTATACATTCAAGAAGCTCAATGAATTTGTGGGAGATCAAAATTGGCCACCCTGAAATATGTCTCTTTATCTTGATTATTTTCTCTGACAGACATTTGACCTCCCCCACCAACTGCCTAAAGGAATTTAACTCTGGGTATGGACAGACTGGCAGGGTCCTTGCTAAGCCCGTTCTTATCAAAGTTCTGTTTACCAAACATTTACATTTGTAAAGGTATCTCCCTTTCCGTACTGGGAAGAGGGGGAGATGGACTTATCTCTGGAAACTCTTATCAGTATGGAAGAAAAGGACTTAAATATACATACTCTTTATTACTGTCATTTCTGTCTCCCTCCTGTCTCCTCCCCCACCCCCAACATCCTCCTTTGTCTTTAGCTGAAAATAGTATTTAAGATGAGAATCTCTGCCATTTTGTTGAGAAACTTAGTTTCCCTGGTTTCTCTCATGTATACATGTTATTAAACTTGGTATTATTTTCTCCTGCTAACCTGTCTTTTAATTATTTGGCCAGGCATAAGAACCTTAAGGGAAAGGGCGGAGGGGGATTCTCCCTCTTCCCCAACAAATTAAAGTAGTCAAACTCAAAGATATTCACAGCTAAAGGATCATAGTCAAACTATTGAAAGCCAAAGAGAAAAACTTGAAAACAGCAAGAGGAAAATTACGTGTTATATACAAAGAAGCCACAGTAAGATTAACAACTGACTTCTCATCAGAAACAATGGAGACAAGAAGGCAATGTTATGACATATTCAAAGTGCTGGGGGAAAAGAACTGCCAACCAAGAATTCTAGGAGTCAGTTCACCATGGCAACAGCTCATGACAACAATTTCTCCTCCCCAGCTTCTGGGAGTCCCTTCAGGTTTGCCCTAAGCTGTGCTGAGGGGAAGGGCGTGGGAGGTCTCTGACCTGACACTATGGGAGACAAAAGAGGTGATAACTTCGAAGGTATGAGCACTGAATGCCTTAAACTGGAGTTATTGGAAGAAATCCATAAGAAAAACTTAGTAGAACTCTCAATAATTGAAATAAGACAAAACATAGTAGAACTGGAAGCCAAACTCAATACTGACAAGGAAGGCAGTGAATGGAAAATCCGTTATGAGACACAACTTGAACTGAATGATCATCTAGAAAAGCAAATTATTACTCTCAAAGAAAAACTGGAAAAAATCCGTGCAAATCCTTCAGATAGACTATCTTCCATTCGTGTCTATGAAAGAATGCCAGTGGAATCCTTAATTACATTACTTACACAGCTGGAAAAAGAAAAAAGGATTCTTGAAAATCAAGTGAAAGACTGTGCACTTAGACTGGAACAAGAATCAAAGGCTTACCACAGGGCCATTGATGAACGCCGTATATACCTAGCTAAAATGTCTCAGGTCTCTGGCTCACACCAAGTTTCTAAAAGGCAACAGATGGATCAACTGCATAGAAAGAAAGATAATCTAGTGAAAATCGGAAGACATAATCCAGGTAATCAGAAGTTAGCAAATGCCAAGAAAGAACCAGCAAAAAAGATTACAAGATCAAACCATCTTCCAAAACTCAACCCATGATTCCAGAACTGAGTGGATTTCTATTTCTTCCCTTTTTTCATCTGTAATATTCAACTTGTGAAGTTAATGTTCAAGACATTTTTCAGGGAATGAAATAGATAAGAAAGAGCTATTAAACCTCTTTAGCTCCTCTTCCAGAAGTTTGTTCCTTTGTCTGCATGAAAGTAATTTTCTTAGTAACTTAGTTTAGACTCAAAAATAACTTTGGAAAGTAATTTTAGTGACCTAAAATATCCAATAGCAGTGTTTGTGATTCTTAAAATATCCTAGGAGGGGCCGGCCTGGTGGCTTAGCAGTTAAGTGCGCGCGCTCTGCTGCTGGCGGCCGGGGTTCGGATCCCGGGCACACACCGACGCACCGCTTCTCTGGCCATGCTGAGGCCACGTCCCACATACAGCAACTAGAAGGATGTGCATCTATGACATACAACTATCTACTGGGGCTTTGGGGGAAAAAAGGAGGAGGATTGGCAATAGATGTTAGCTCAGAGCCGGTCTTCCTCAGCAAAAAGAGGAGGATTAGCATGGATGTTAGCTCAGGGCTGATCTTCCTCACAAAAAAAAAAATATCCTAGGAAACCTGAGATTTGTCCTCATTACACCTGCTTTTAATAATATATCCATGATCTGCTCTCATAGTAACTTTGCTATTATATTTGGTTTCTAGTTGGCTGTTAGCTAAAAATGTGAGTTCATCAAAACTTTTTGCTATTTTAGGCTATATCATGTTCATTTTTTGAAAACCTAAGGTTTAAACAAAACTGCAAATCAAATTCATTTTAAACTTGAACTTGAAATTTCATGGTATTGTGGAAACAGCCTTCAATCAGGAATTAGCTTGGTTATAGTCTCCACTCTGCCATGAACTTATGAGATCTTGGGAAAGTCCCTTCACCTGATTTTTACTTCCCATGCCTGTAAAATGACTGAGACAAACTATGCAACATCTAAGGTTTCTTACCATTCTAGAAAACCAATACTCATCCAACTACAAGTTCCTGCCACTTAGCACATGGTGATTTAAGTCATTTTGTAATGTTTACTAATTTATAGTGATGGCCTAGTTTTTTGGACCAAACTTTGCAAGTGTCCACCATACTCAAGTCTGGAAGTGGAGATAGATAGAATGAGGATAGGATAAGCGTTCTTTTAAGGCATTTAAAAAATTTATTGAACTCTTCCATTCACATTTAGACTATTTTCTTAATGGTCACATAGGTCTGGAACATACATATAATTAATTTGCCCAACTTAATAAGTGAAATTATTGGACTTCAAATTTCCAGAAATCATCCAGTGGTAAGTATAGTTTCTAGCTAATGGTGTTCTCACCCTATATCTGGCATTAAAACCTAAATTCTATTCGGTATTACCGGTAATGAATACCAAATGCATTTCTATAACTGTCTCTATAGATATTCACTTTATTTCTTTAAGGAAGAATGCATAAATTTTATATAGCCACATAATTTTATATGACTTTAAAATGTAATGCAGTGAAATATAAAGTAACTTCCTATAAATTACTCTACATTGGAGTTGTTTGGAGATATTTTCCCCTGTTCTTAATCAAGCTAACTACACATATTAGCTATCATGACCCATATTATTAAACAAATACTATATTTTTATGTTTTATACCATCTTAGCATTAGCAGCAAATTGATCATTTGAATATTAGTAATAAATATAATCATCACAGATCATCACTGAAGAATAAACAAGTTTGTTTCTCTCATACAGAGGAAAGCCGTTGTAGGGATTGGACTGAGGAACAGTTAAAATTATCTCAATCATTGCGATGGTATATTAATTGAACATTTTATCATGGGGACTCTATCACGTTTAAGTGTTAGTTCTGTAGCAGCTACTTTGGAATACTTCCAGTAGTATAAAAAACAAATGGAAGACTCTCTAAGATCTGTGTTCTCATATGTTTTGCCACTTCTAAGCTTCTGACTTTGAGTAAATCACTTTTCATTGCCTCACTTTCATCATTTGTAGAGTTGGGAATATTTACCCTAACTATTGCCTTGGGACTGCTGTGCAGGTCAAGGATACTTAGTAAATATTTATTTATTTACTTCTTTGTACCTTATTTCCCTCTAAAAATAGGGAAGGGTGTGAGTTAGCTTTTACTAAATGTAGAGGTATAAAAACAACACTCATCTTTATAAAAGATGAAAATAAAAGTTAGTTTTGCAAGAATTTGTGGCTAAGAAAAACTCTAACTTTAAGCTTTCTAGCAGCCAGTACAAAGAAGGAATAAGTCACAAAGCTCTCATATATTTTTTTTTTGTAGAAGGAATATACAAGTAGAGAAAAAGCTTTACCTAGTTCTAAGCTCGGAAGATAACTTGTCATGTAAGGTTTTACAAGAAAACGCAATTATTTATTGCAAAAATGATAGTTTGAGGTCCTTTTTTAATACTGAAATATGTATTAAAATCATTATTTTTTAAGTTCAGAATTCATAAAGCAAAAAAATCAGTAAAACAATATTTAATATATTTCAAATTTTAAAATGTCTAAATGTATTACAAAATATCAGAAATACTATTTATAAAAACAAATGTTGCTAAAATCAAGAGGACAAATAATAACAAGTGTTGGCAAGGATGTGAAGAAACTGGAAGCCTCCACTGCTGGTGGGAATGTAAAATTATGCAGCCACTTTGAAAAATAGGCTGTCAGTTCCTCAATAGGTTAAACATAGAGTTATCATATGATCCAGCAATTCCACTCTATGTATAGCCAGAAGAAATGGAAATTTACATCCACATAAAAATTTGTACATGAATGTTTATAGCACCATTATTCATAACAGCCAAAAAGTGGAAACAAGCCAAATGTCCATCAACTGAATAATGGATAAACAAAATGTAATATATCCAAACAATGGAATATTTTTTTAATTTAATTTTTTTATTGATGTCATAATAGTTTGTAACATTGTGAGATTCCAGTTGTACATTATTATTTGTCAGTCACCATATAAATGTGCCCCTTCACCCCTTGTCCCAACCCCTCAACCCCCTTCCACCTGGTAACCACCAAAGTGTTCTCTCTGTCTGTGTGTTAGTTTATCTTCCACATATAAGTGAAGTCATACAGTGTTTGTCTTTCTCTGTCTGGCTTATTTCACTTAATGTAATACCCTCCAGGTCCATCCATGTTGTTGCAAATGGGACGATTTTATCTTTTTTTATGGCTGAGTATTATTCTGTGGTATATACATATACCACATCTTCTTTATCCAATCATGTGTTAATGGACACTTGGGTTGCTTCCACTTTTTGGCTATAGTGAATAATACTGCAATGAACATAGGGGTGCATAAGCCTCTTTGGTTTCAAACAATGGAATATTATTCAACAACAAAAAGAAATGAAGTACTGATATATGTTATGATGTGGATGAACCTTGAAGATAATATTCTAAGTGAAAGAAGCCAGTCACAAAATACCACATATTGTATAATTCCATTTATATAAAATGTCCAAAATAGGCAAATCCATAGAGACAGAAAGTAGATCAGTTGTTGCCAGGGGCTGGTGGAACCAGGGCGAGGGTTGATGATGGGGAGTGACTGCAAAGGGTACAGGGTTTCTTTTTGGTGTGATGAAAATGTTCTAAAATTGATTGCTATGGTTGCACAAATCTGTGAATATAGTAAAAACCACTGAACTGTACACTTTAAATGGGTTAATCATATGTTATATGATTTATATCTCTATAATGCTATTAAAAATAATTCTATATGTAACAAAATAACCCTTAAAAAGTGAAGGCCCCACAAAAGAAGACATTCTTTAAAAAAAACAAAGCCTAAGAGAACTAATTGCTATCAGACCCACCTTATAAATAATTTTAAAAGGAAGTTCATCAGGCTGACAAGAAATTGTAACTTGAATCTACACAAAGAAATAGAGTACCAGTAAAGATAATTACATAGGAAAACATAAAATACAATATAAATGTAGTTTTCTTTCCTTCTCACAACTGACTTAAAATGCATCTGCATAAGACAATAATTATTAAAATATTGTTGGGTGTAGAATATATAAAGATGTAATGTATGTGATAAAAATAGCACAAAGGAGAGGAGAGGAAAGGGAGCTATGTTGGAGCAGTTTCTGTATACTACTGGAAATAAGTTAGCATTAATGTGAAGTATGCTGTTTTAATTTAGGTTGTATATTGTAATCCTCAGAGCAACCACTAAGAAAATTATTCAACAAACAGAGTAAATACAGGGAATTAAAATGGCACACTAGAAAGTATCTATTTAATGCAAAAGTAGGCAGTAAAGGAGAAATAGAGGAGAAAAAAATACATGAGACATAGACAATAGCAAAATTACTGTTATAAATAATTATATTTACATTATAATCAATAATTAAATGTAAATAAAATAAGCACTACTATAAAAAATAAGAGATTATCAGACTAGATTTAAAACAGGATCTAACTGTATGCTGTCTAGAACAGATACACTATAGATTCAAGACACAAATAGGTTGAAAGGATGGAAAATGATATACTACGCAAACAGTAACCATAAGAGAGCTGGAGTGACTATACCAATGCGTTAGTTTTCCATTGCTGTGTAACAAATTACCACAAATTTAGCAGCTTAAAAAAATACTCATTTATTAGCTCACAGTTCTATAGGTCATAAGACCAGGCAGATTGTCTGCCTAAGGTCTCAAAAAGCCAAAATCAAGGTGTTGGCCAGGCTGGCCTCATCTGAAAGCTTTAGGGAAGAATCTGTTTCCAAACAAAAAAAGAATCTGCTTCCAAGTTCAAAGAATCTGCTTCCAAGTTCAAGTTTTTGGCAGAAATTCAGTTCATTGCAGCTGTAAAACTCAGGTCCCCATTTCCTTTATACATGGTTTCCACTGTTTTCATGCAAACAGTGAAGCATCAAATCCTTTTTGTGCTTTGAGTCTCTGAATGATGACCTCTTCTAGCATCAGCCAGAGAAAACTCTCTGGATTTAAAGGGCTCACGTGATTGGGTCAGGTGTACCCAGATAATCTTCACACATTAAGGTTAACTGACTTGAAACTTTAATTACATCTGGAAAACTAATCACTTCATAGCAGTTCCCAGGTTAGTATTTGATTGAATAAGAAGGGAACAGAAATCTCGTGGAGCCATCTTTAG